AAGGGATTCTAGAATTCATCCCCCCTATGGGAGGTTCTAGAATTCCTTAATGCTCAACTAATGAATATTGTCACCTTTAGTCCTCCTACTTTTAATTAATCCAATTAATCCCAAAATTAATTCAAATTAATTCCTGATTAATTATTGATTAAATAATACTATTTCCAATTAATATATTATTCTCGTAATACATTAACAAATTATTTATTGATTTCTAATTAATTTATTAATCATATAATAAATTAAAAAATCAATCTCTCTTTATAAAAGTTATCCTATTCAATTGCTAGGTTTGAGGGAAACTCAACAGGACTGTGCTACTATCAATTTAAGTATATACCAATTATAGTTATGGGTTTAGACACCTAATCCAACAGTCTCCCACTTGGATTGGTATGAAACTATAATTGCCAGTACAACTTCCAAACTGATTAGCAAATTGTATCTTCCAAAAGCTGTTGTCGAATTCTGAACCAGATAGTTACATATGCTAAGATAAGTGATCAAATATTTCTTCGCTCTACAAGATACCGTAAGGACATGAGAAATGGATTATAATCAATCTCATTATCCAAGTTTTGTTTCCCGATTTCTGATTTGTAATGACTGAATTCAGACTGCTAATTGAACACATCAATTTAGCCTAGGCTCGGCCAAACACTTGTAAGTCAACACCAAATCACCGAGGGGCGCAAAGATATCGATTTTCCCGTTAGGGCAAAAAGAATGAGTAAACTTTGAATTATATGCTTTCACTATTTACTCATTAAATCATGCACAACAATGCGTTTTATAACATCACGTTATTGATGCGTTTACGTATTATCAATGCACAACTGACATGTAAACAACAACTCATATATCTCCGTTTTAGGAATATAAGATATTTATCGTCTCAAAATTACTCGTGATAAAATACATGAAGTAATTCTCTGAGAGTGGGTTTATCCAATACTTAAAATACCCATTTTCTAAGTACTCATGAACATTGCAGCAAAACTATTGCTATGTCTAATCTCCATAGACAATCTACAATCCAGTTCATGACATTCTTAAGTCACTACTTACTTCCAAAAGTACGAGTGACTGTGAAATATCGAATAATTAAATTATTATGGAAGTAAAACATGTAAAGTGAAACACAATAATAACCTAACTAACTATGGTCTTAAACTATTAAATATAAATAAAACTCTTATCATTTAATCATAATATTAACTGTCTTTATTCATTGTATAATGTTTCAAGTAATCAACTACACACTTGAATTAAACATTAGTCATACCATGTTATAAACATGTATACTATGTCTCTCTATGGTCCTTCCTTTGTGAACATATCGACTGGAAACTATTCCAATGATGCTCATTTCACAAATCCAAATTCTTGTCACTACTAAATGTTTTAGAATTCCAACCTTAAATGCATTGTCCTTCTGTGATGTCGATGCTTCAAATTCATAGAGACTTAGCCAACAATATTACAAAATGTTCTATTGGAACTTTGTTACTAAAAACAATTCCAAGTAATGAGGTTTCAAATTCAAGGCACATTCCTTGAACACCTTCGTTGCATTAAAGTTTCTAACTCACATGTAGATTTTAATCATATACTCCCTCTATGGAAACAATTCCATATTCCCATATGACCATCAATTCTGATCGAGAATCATCCCAATATAAAACATGTCACTATGGTTCTTCCAAACAATACTATACTTCTAACTATTCACAAGCAACCAATCCTTTGGTATAACCTCGGAACGTTCTAGACAAATGTTCAACTTTAGTCACACAAAGTTCTATTCCATTTTCCTCTCAATGCCCTAGGAATTTTGAAAAATCTTAACAAGTGAATATTATAGTATATAAAAAAACGATCCTATATACGAAGCATATGGAACTCGATGTTTTACATAAGGACTTGATATCTGTTCGGTCCATTGCTATAATATTTTCTATATACCGAATTTCGTATGTTCAACTATTTCAACATGATATTCATATAATATTGAGTATGCTGCTTTGTAGTAATAACCTGTAGAATTGTATGCTATATGTGCTTGCTGATTATCATTCCCTTAGGGACTGTCTGTGGTCATATAGGATAGCCTGAGAACTCTTGGTCTAGGCTCTCTTGCCTGTTCCTTATGTGGTTATGGATCTAGAGTGGGACCATCTGTATGGGTGGCTATCTCACCTCTGGTTACTTATGGTTACGCACTATATGGGGGTTAGCTGGTAGTGGGACTGTATGTTGTGAGAGGATTAGTAGGCAGTAGTGAGCTGCATGATTGTTGTTACCTATATTATGTGCCTACTTGATCCTGATTATTTATATGTCCACATATTGTATTTGGTTTGGATTGAGGCGGTCCTACTTTGTGCGGTAGGCCAAGACACCCGGTGCAAGCCGACTATAAGCAGTAGGGACGAAGGCTCGGGAAAAGAGATAGGGTTGAGGTGGTAGGCCAACAAACCCTGGGTATTCGAGCCTGATGGCTGATTGGACCTGTTGTGTATTGGCATTCCAACCTAGGGTATTCCATCCCAAGGATGACTGGACCCGAAGGTTGACTGGGCCTGGAGTATTCCAACCCGATGGATAACTGGATCCAACATGTTATATTGTATATGTGATCTGTTTATATGGTGGTATTTTGGGGGAAACTCACTAAGCTTTATGCTTACCAATTGTTTATGGTTTCAGGTATCATCGTTTACTGTTGGAAGGCGAAGGTGGGACTATACACACTCATCAGCAACATTGGATATTTTGCGTTTCTACAATACTCTAATTTTAATAAACGTGATTCAGAATAAATGATTATATTTATTAAAGAATTATTAAATTGGGAAGCTTTACCTTTATAAAAATGAAAATATTTGGTTTTGAAAATGGGACGCTACAGGATTTTAGAATGACTATATGCTAAAATGGTACTGCCCTCCGGTACTTCTCACCTGACTGATCCTTATTTGATAGTCTTGAAGTACAAAACCAAAACTTAATAAGATACATAAAAAATCAAGATTTTAGGTTAAATACCCTAGATAAGTTTAATAGTACATTGGCTAAGCCAAGACTATAAATATAACTGATCAGCTATGTTTTATTTTGGAAGGGTCTAATGTGCTATTAAACCTAAATATGGTAATTAATAAATTAAAAGCTTGAGCAATCCAAAAGGCATAAAACAAGTACAAAGATGAGCCGAAAATGATTTAATATATATATATATATATATATATATATATATATATACACACACACAATACAAATCTACATAGATACATTGTAGAGTTGTATACCAAAAATGGAGCATCTATGCCCACATACATCACCACTAAAACATACAAAAATAAAGGTAGTACACATACCCAAAAAGTAACAATAAATAAACATGAATAATCAACATACTCCTCGTCATCCCTATCACCACCATCATCATCACTCTCATCATCGCCGTCGTGGTGAATCCATGACATGCATGCCCCATCACTTTGTTGCTGGTAAGGGGGATAAGCAAATCACTGAAAAGCAAAACAATCACTCATAGACCCCCCATCCACTACTAGGAATGACAGACATATTGGACCTCCCTACTCAGCTCGCCCATGCACCTAGAGATGGGCTATATCCATCTCAGGTTGTGGACCCTGCTGAACACCTGGGGGAGCATGTTGAACTCGTTGTTGATGATAACCGTGCTTAAAATCTTGCTCCTCTCCATGCTCCAGATCCACCTGATTCATGGGCACAACGACATCGCTAGGAGTAATCCTCAAAATTCGATCTGGCTCACGAAAAACCACTAGTAACCGTGTTAAAATTGCCTCATTAAACTCTTAGAAAGGATAATAAATCATCTAATGAGTATTAACCCCATAGGACTAAGCCAAGCGTCAGATGAAATGGCCACCACAGATCTTGCTCTGTGGCTGAGACCCTAGATCTAGAATAGAGGAAATAATGGAGGCAATGGTGTAAGGGATGTGGAGGTGAACATCGGTGTGAAGGAAGCACCACATAGGAAAAAGATCTCATGAAGGAACCTTATAGTGCTCCTCATGATGGTGAATGGTAGAGGTAATCAACCGGTGCATAAACTGAAGGTTTGTGTCGATCAGATACAATTCAAGTATAAAAAACAAGAAAAAATTACTAAGCAATTAAAGAACAGAAAAGTAAATAACACAGGATTCACCAAATTGTCTTTCACCAAGATAGGGGTTGTTTTCACCAAGAAAACAGGGTTGTCACAAATATGGTCACCAAGATGATTATATTAGGGTTTCACACTAATGTTGAATATATACTAATCTATACAGGTATATCCCTTGATTAAAGGAATTGTATCTAATCTATACTATGAACCGATCTTCATAACAAAGATATCAGATATGCTATCTATTCTATACTTATCTGTATCATTACCAAATATACAAAGGTTACATAGAATAATTATCTACATGCTGATGTTGATATACATGAGACGATGACGCTGATGTTGATCTCGACACTGGCTCTAGCGTATAGAGTGTAGAGTGTTTTACTCATCAGATCATAAGGTGTGACCTTAAAATCTCCCCTATCTGATGATGTCAAAACTAATCTTCTTTAGAGTCATCAGAAGAATCGTTGTTGAAATTGTCAGCTTCTTTCAAGATCTTAGGCTTAATCCATCTGAATTCATCAACTTGAAGTTCTTCCTATCTTTTACTAAGCTCCAGAGAGATCAACACATGATATCCTCTTTCCAATTCAAAATGACTGATTCCTTCGATGCAAAGATGAAACAAATGTTCAGTGGGAGCAGTAGGAAGATAATCAGTGTGTTGAAAGCACATCTGATTTTGACTGTCAAGATAGAAAATGCCATGCTCTTGTTCTCGAATGAACATGTACTGAACTGGTTCATCACTAACAGAAAGTTCGTTGTTGTTGTACCAAGTACCATAAGGAAGAAGAATATTAGTATTACTGGACTGTGTGGGGGTTCATGTTGAGGTGGATGGTCTAGAGGGACCAGTCGATGGCACAAGATTGAGCTTCTTGACTTTGTTGAGTAGTTGATGAATTGCCAACTTCACCTCCCGAGGATGAATACCTTTGTTTTTTTCGATAATTTCTTGAATTTTTATCCACTCGCTGTAGCCAAATTTGATTAGCTCACGAGCGAATACAACCTTAGTGTACTCATACTCAGTCTTCTTCCTGACCAAGTGAAGCTTTAGAGACTCGTTCCTTGGTTTGGTGCATCTCACCCTGATAATGAGATCTGGATTTGTTCTTCAAGTCAGAACATCTCCAAACCTCTTTGGACCGACCTGTTATTCAGGTCTGAAACCTTGTGTTGTATATCCATAATATTATTGAAGAGCTGGATTTTTTTGACCTGATCATTAGTGATTTGAACATCAACGCTATCTTCAGCAGAAGCAACAACTTGAGCAAGTTTGGCAGACATACGGTCTCCTTTTCTAGTTTCATACTTTTCTTGAATAGCCGCATTATTCTCTGCCATGATTTCTCTTACTTTGTCAACAGTTATACCCCATATTCCAGCTAAAATATTCAAATAAAAAATGATCTTGCGTTTATTGGAAGGAAGAGGTGAAGAAGGATCACCATCTATGGAAGAACTTCTAGCTTTAGCATCACGATCTCCCCTTGAGAAGAAAGCCTTCCTCTTTTGAGTATTGAATTGATCATTATCAGACTTAGTGTCACTATTAGTTACCTGAGGATTCTCCACCTCAAAGTATGAATCATGGTAGACAACATTCAAAGGAACAACATGAACAAAAACTGGTGGCATGAATCCTAGATCAAGAAACCCTTCATAGTCAATGGTTTCTGATTGATCACCAGTGTCAAGAATGGGTTGATCATCAGTTGTTGCATCAGTGTTTAGATTGTCAACAATAACAATTTCCTTTTGAAGCTCAGCTTCAACCCTTCCAATTTCAGACATCTCAGGATGAGATTGAGTTGGTGCAATCACCACCATTTAAATTTGGTGAGCATGTCTCTCTTGATTATTCTCCCCTTTTTTGAAATCATCAAATTGAGGAGGAGAACTAGATGGTGGAGGGAGATTTGTAGATGGTGGATGTAAACTTCATGATGAGAGTGGAAGTGGATTTGATGATGGTGGAGGAGGCAAAGGATTATAACCTAGAGAATTTGGAGGAGTAAATCTAATAACCATATCATTAGTATCATCATCACTTATAGCCATAAATCTATTCATATCATCCAAATTTTGTTCAACTTCATACAATATTTCTCCCAGCTACTGAGTTATTTTCACTAGTAGAGAAAGTTGGGAGAGTATAATTTTTTCAAAGTTGGAGGTTGATTCCCCGTGATAAAGTGTAGTAGTTTGAATAGGTTTTAGCATAGGAGGAACATTCTCAACTAGAGGAGAAGGAAATGCTAGTCTTGCAGAGATCTCATCTTGGATCAAAGGCTCAGCAGTTACCACTAGAGGTGGATTTGATCCACGTTGCACAACATCATCTGCAGATGGAGTGGATAAAGAAGTAGATGAGAATCAAATTTGCTTGTTCATCCTTAGAGGAGAGTTTATTTCCTGAGCAAATTCATCCCCCTTATCAGTGGCTTGTTCTTCTTCATCATTACCAGTGTCTTCATCAACCCCTTCTTAACTATCATCCTCATCCTCTTCTTCAGAGTCAAAGGATTCCACCAGATATGGTTTGTCAATCCATTTTTGCATCCTTACAGCAATATGCAAATCATCTTCAGTAGGAGCAACATTGATGATCTTTGAAGAGAGGCCACGAATAGGAATGGAGATCCCATGATTTCCATAATAACCTTCATCACGAGCCTAGATTAATCCAAGCCAACAAGGATAGGGAACATACACTGGCTTTTTGTTCCCAGTGATGCAATCAATCACCTGATGAAGAAAAAGTTGAGCAAAATCTAGTCTTGTGTTGTACATAATAGAAAACAAAATCCTTTGCTCAAAGAGATTCAGTTGATCTAAGCTCCCAGTATTGTGTCCAAGGAACTTGCCAATAACCCTTGCTAAGTACTTTCATCCTACACCAAAACACTGACGAAGAGTGTTTTTGTATGGATCATGAGTGGTTCCCTAAAGATTAAAATTATACCCTAACCTTTTATGAGCGGACTTGCACTTTTCTTCCAGAGAGTTTCAGAGTAATTTTCTAATCGAGGAAGATGAAGAGTAGTTCAAAAATATTCCACATCAATAGTAAACCTATATTGACCATCTTCGATGGTTCTAGTAATGGTTTAAGCATCAAAATCAACAGAGCATGAATAGTAGAACCTACATATTTGTTTAGGGTATAATGGATCTGGGAAGTCACATAAGGCATATCGAAAAGGGGAACTTTTTAGATAATAAACAAAATCTTCAACTCCTAAGTTCATGAAATGGTTTGGGATGTCATCAAATAACGTCACATTTTTTGTTTGAATGATGATGGGAGAATTAGGGGCATGTGGACCTTTGACAACATCAACATTAGGGGAAAACTCGTAGAGAGGCTTTGACATGGTGAGAGCTTTGAGGAAGATGAAGGTTGAGAGAGCCTTTTTCAAGAGAGAAAGCCAATTGCTTGAATAGCTTGTAAAAGTGACCTAGGACGTATAGTTCACAATTTATATCAAAAAGTTTCTTCCCTTTTACGTAACCATGATTAAAGAGATCCATTCCATAAAACATCATATCTCAAGTTATTGATAGACCTTTTAATTGTCATATAAAAAGTTACCATTGAGATAAGGAAATTTCATCAGTGAGATATAGCATCAACGAAAATGGTCATTATCAAAGGCATTCAGTGTACCAGAATCGCAACTTGTAAATCAATTAGTTTTTGATGTCTACCAATAGTGTGGACTTGAACTACCATTCAACGACATAGTATTGTGAGTTTTCATCAGTGTGTGGTATCATACGCTGACTTATTAATCACATTTATTAGAAGGAAAATGGAAGAGTGGTATGATGCGTGTAATATATTCTGGTACGAAATGTACCCATTGGCAAAGAGTGTCAAAGTTTTATTAGTGTATGGCTAATATAACGAATCATTAACTTCTTAATAGAATAATTTTTGGGAAAGAATGGGTAGGTGTGTGTAATACATCACACATAATGATATACCCATTGTTACATAAATTTTGAATTCTCATCAATGTTTTGTTGCATATGCTGAATCATAAAATTCTAAAGAAGAATATATAGAGAGAATGGATTGATGCATGTGATAAGCTGTGGTGTTTTAGCTTAATCATTGGCATAGATTTTTCAAGCTCTCATCACTGTATGGTACATTACGCTGAATCATAAAGCTTTAAAAAAGAAAGTAAGGAGAGAATGGATTGCTTTAGTCATGATGAGTTAGAATCAACATGAATCATTAACAATAATAACCCATCAACAAGAAATGTTTCAATCCTTGCATTATAGAGTTAGATGCATTAAAAAATCAATGATTTACCATCAATTCATTATGGTATCATGTCATATCTCCAACTAGGAGGCTAGGGACATAAATAACCCTTTCTCATTTGAGGGCAAGACAAGTAACTCTTATGCTGATGACTATGCAATCAGGGTAAGCCATTGGGTTATGCTTAATGTTTCAGTAGAACATGAGACTTGATGCATATGGCAAGCATGCTTCTAGGGACAGAGTCAGGTAAAATAGTTAACTAAGAATAAACCACAAAGACTTTCTATCATTTTTTTATTTGGACCAGACAATCTCACTTAGGCAATTGGCGTGAGGGGGTGACTCAATTTTCTCAGCAGATGGTCTCACTGAAGAGCTACTTAGAGAGATTTACTCATATACAACAACACATGCTTCTAAGTACGATGATTTGTCAAAAGTTACATACTTGGCTTATGAATTTCCATTGTCAAATCCTTTTTTAAAAAAATTGGTACAAAATATAAAAATACAAACAAAAGAGTTAGTCAAACAAGGAAAAATTCTAAAAGCGGGATTTTTATAGCTTTTTTAGAAGCATGATAAAGACAATATCCATCAAATATTTTGAATTGAATGGCCATAAATGAACTTCCATTTTTAGAGATGTCTACTCCTCGACACTGTCTATAAAAGAGAGCAAACAAGATCAACCACATCAAACAAAAACATAATTCATAGTAAACAAAGCGAGCGAATGCCTTTAATCATTGAGGTTTTGCAGATTGATTCCAAGATTCATGTTCACCAAGAACAAGAGAAGAAGATGAACCAATCTTTGTAAACAACAAGTTAAGAGGATCCAATATTTGTAACCTTCAAGTTACGAGAGTCACCAAGACAAGACTCGAAGGTTCCACTCATTGTGATCCTTGAAGGAAGAAAAGGTAGGACCACTATCTTGTTGAAGACACCAAGGGGAGTTGGAAAATAGATGTGCTGTGCTACCTAATTTCACCTCATTCCATTTCAATGGAGATAGAATATTCAATAAGGAAGAGACATGTGTCCAGGATAACACTTAGTAGCACAATTCTCTTATATATGGTCTCATCCACATGATGCAACTAGTTAATGATTGTGAGCATCAACATTAAGGAGAGAGTGGTTGGCGCTAAAGAAAAGATGCAGAGCCAGCTTCAAATAACTCTATTAGGAAGGTGATGCATTCAAGGAATGACACGTCGATCCTTAAAAATAAGCAAATCGGTTTAATGTCACTATCGATAGAAAAGAAGATGTATAGGCAATGTTAGAAAAATAATGTACAATTTATACTTATTTGGTAAAATAGAAATTTAAAAATAATTTTTGAATCAAGAAAGTCATAGAAAATGTAAACCAACAACTTATGTTTAGAAAAATTAAAGTAGCAAAGCATAAAGTAAAAAAAAACACAAGCTATTGGATCATATAAATGTTGTTGTCCCTGAGAGAAGTAAGCACAATTTTGTTCTCAAAATTAAACACCTTTCCTTCATGCCAACAACTTTGTTTACAACACTTCATAGTTCTCAGGACTTTGAGCTTCTTTCTTCTCTTTGCATTCCCTGGCAAAATGGTCAGGGCTTCCACAACTAAAACAATTACCCGAGCTCTTCTTTTTTGAAGTGGATCTCATTTCTAAACTACATCCCTTAAAGTGAGCTATTCGACCCCCATTTAATCTACTTTCTTCATAACGCTTGACAATAAGTGCAACGCTGGAAACTATTTCATCAGTGATATCCTCACCACTCTCTTTACCCTGATTTGAGACATCAGTGATATCCTCACCACTCTCTTTACCCTGATCCTCACCAAGGCTACATATTTTTCCTCGCATGTGTTATTTATGATGTATTTATGAAGGGATTTGGTCTCTTCGTAATCATAGATTTCCAAAAAAGAAGTTCAGATCCATGGCATTGATCTTTTCACTGTTCTTAAGGATATCAACGTTATGTTCCCTACTTTTCCCAAGAGAGTCAGGAAACTTTAGAACCAACTGAGATGAATGCTTAACGAATCCCATCCTACACATATCATTAACAAAATAATTAAACCTATTGAAGGTTTGGATAATTGACTCACCTTGTTGAGCAAAGAAATGCTCATGTCTCAAATTGAGGTTGTTGACGGTTGTAGCCTGAACATCCACGGTGCCTTCATAAGTTACCGTCAGTGTATCCGTCATCTCTTGGGCTGACTCACAATTTTGTACAAGATGATACATGTGATAGGGAAGGGAGTTTCCTATCACTACTTTAGATTTCACATCAAGACTAAGCAGTTTCTTGTCATTGTTATCATAACTAGTCTCTGGATTTTGCTTCAAGGGACCAACAAGAGCATTGTTGACCATAGCTTGATACATAGGAACATGAAGACATTTTTTTAAAATCTTACGCATATCATAGTCCATGGTTACAAGAACAACCATAGCCTTAGTTTTCCACATGGCGAAGTTGTTCTCATTGAAAGGAGGAATCTTGTTAAGACCAAAGGAGTTTTGATTATTGGAAGTCGACATTAATACTTAGGTACATCAAAAATCCACTTGAAAACCAATTGAAGGTTTGTGTCGACCAGATACACTTCAAGTATAATAAATAAGAACAAAATTACTAAGTAATTAAAGAACAGAAAAGTAAATAACATAGAGGATTCACCAAATTGTCTTTCACCAAGAAAGGGGTTGTTTTCACCAAGAAAATGGGGTTGTTACAAAGATGGTCACCAAAATGATTATCTTAGGGTTTCACCCTAATGTTGAAGATATACTAATCTATACAGGTATATCCCTTGATTAAAGAAATTGTATCTAATCTATACTATGAACCGATCTTCATAAAAAAATATCAGATCTGCTATCTATTCTATACTTATCTGTATCATTACCCAATATACAAAGGTTATATAGAATAACTATGTACACGCTGAAGTTGATATACATGAGACGCTGATGCTGATGTTGATCTTAACGCTGACATTGGCATATAGAGTGTAGATTGTTTGACTCATCATATCATAACGTGTGACCCTACATAAACATGTGCAGAGGAGATCTGAAACTACTCTCCTTCGCTGGACTCAATACGCAATCCTCAACGGTGAGGGCCTAGACACTCAAATGTTTGTATTCTCTCAGCTCCAAGAGAATACAACTATCTAAGTAGGCCTCCAAGAAAGGATGATCAACATCATTGGCATAATATATCGCCAATCGTTGCCTAAGATCTAACAGACTGCAAGATCAGGCAACTCTACCCAACCTGAAAGACAAGGCTGAGCCATCCGACCAAATCCTGATCTAGCGGTTGAACCACATAGTAGAAAGGAACTCTATAATGAGATCCATGAAGATGATCCCCCAGAACCCCAAAAGATGATGCCAGACATGACTGGCGAAAGTCACGAGACTTTGCACATCATGAAGTGATCTCATAAGAAACTGTTGGATAAGGTGTCTAAGTCCATAACTATTTCTGGT